AAACCAAAGAAAAACAAGTTACCTGCGCTCTCTCCTTAATCCTTGCCTTGACGTTGGCAGGTGGGCATTCCCTCCAGTGGCCATTGGAGTAACTAAATGACCTCCATTTGTTTAAATATACATAGGGATTAAGGGGAGAGCACAGGTAACTTGTTTTTCTTTGGTTTTTACTATATATATTGGGGCTGATGTGTACTGTAGTCGTTGCTGCCATCCAGGAGTGATGGGAGTGAGCACAGGACTTATCTTTCTGCAAGTTTACTAAGGGACACACAGAGGGACCTGGGGGTGGGAAGGGAAAGACACAGAGGGGCCACAAACCCTTTCTTTCACACTACACAGATACACAATGCATCCTTACACATACACAGAAACACACCGAAACATACGGTGAATCCTACACACACACACCGAAACATACAGTGAATCCTACACACACACAGAAACACACAAAGCTTCCCTTACACACTCAGTCTTACACACACACTTACAATGCATCCCTTACACACTCAATGCACTCTTTGCATACACAGAAACACACCTTGCATCCCTTACACACACACAGAAACACACAATGTATTCCTTATACACAAACACACACTGCTTTCTACCCCTTAAACACACACACAAACACACCACTCTCTGTGAGCGAACTCAGGTGTGGGCCATGTAGGTGGACTTATGGGTGGGCCTTCAAGACATACTCACGGTCAGGCCCTGGGGGCCCAGACCTTAAGCTGTGTAAGGGGCCTCAAAAAAATGGAGCTGCTTCCTGTTAGTTGATTTTTGTGAGCAGAGTTACAAACAGCCAGCCTGTTCTACACAAGACCAGTGGAGCCAGATTACAGCCTCTTGCCCTCATCAGGTGGTAAGTAGTTTCACTAATCTCTAATTTAGATTAAAGGGACACTATGGTCACCAGAACCACTACAGCTTGATGTAGTGGTTCTGGTGTCAATAGCCTCTTCCTGCAGGCCTTTTAATGTAAACACACTGCCTGTTCAGACAAAGACACTGTGAGCAGCACTGGCGTTAACTTATATTGCAGGTCATATGGGTGGGGCATTGTGATGTCACATGGTGGGCAGAACATATGAGGGGGCGGCAAAAATCCTTGCACCGGCCCTGATGGGAGTTCTGATTTACGAGTTACATTAGTAAAAAAACAAACCAAAAAAAACATTATTAAGGGGGTTGGAGTGACACCAACCCTAGTGACATCACTGATGTTCAGGTGAGTGCACCCCTACCCATCTTTGGATTCATTTATTTACATACATATATAGTGTAAATATCATAATAATAATAATGTAAATTGGATTAGCCGTATTAGTCCAGTAGACAAGATTCCGAAATACCAGATTATTGCACTTTGCAATACCACCTTTTTTTATTGGACTAACATAATATTTCAAAGACAAGCTTTCGATAGTTTTCCACTCTTCCTCACCGTAAATTAGCTGTCCTCTCAAAATAACTCGACACACAGCCATTAATGTGTAAACCGTTGGCAACAAAAGTTAGTATACCCCCAAGTGGAAATGTCCAAATTGGGCCCAAAGTATCAATATTTTGTGTGGCCACCATTATTTTCCAGCACTGCCTTAACCTCTTAAGGAATGAGCCAAACGTACACGTTGTGATAAAAACAAAACGTAAACAAAACTTGGAATTTGACTATATGTCTGTTCAACCGTAATTCACCTCCTTCATATTAATTGCACCCACACTTATATATCATTTTATTCAGGGAAAACAGGGCTTTTATTTAACATCAAATATTTAGCTATGAAACATAATTTAATATGAATAAAATATAAAAAATGGGAGAAAATAAGAAATTGTTATTTTTTTAGTTCTACGTGACATTTTAACTGTGAATGTCATAATACCGTTTGCTTTTACTGCAATAAAATACACATTTGTATTCAGCTATGTCTCACGTATAAAACAGTGCCCCCTATGTACAGGTTTTATGGTGTTTTGGGAAGTTATAGGGTCAAATATAGCATGTTTAATTTTTCACATTGAAATTCGTCAGATTGGTTACGTTGCCTTTGAGAACATATGGTAGCCTAGGAATGAGAATTATCCCCATGATGGCATACCATTTGCAATAGTAGACAACCCAAGGTATTGCAAATGGTATGCCATCATGTGGGTAATTTTCATTCCTGGGCTACCATATGGTCTCAAAGGCAACGTAACCAATCTGGCGAATTTCAGTGTGAAAAAAATGAAAACGTAAGCCTTATATTTGACCTGTAACTTTTGAAAACACCATAAAACCTGTACATGACGGGTACTGTTATACTCGGGAGACTTCACTGAAGTGTTTCAAAAACGTATCACAACAATTATATTGTCAGTGTAAGTGCCATTTGTGTGTGAAAAATGCAAAACATTTCACTTTCACCGATATCATCATTGTAATACATTTTACTGTTTTGAAACATTAATATTTGTGTTCAGCAAAGTCTCCCGAGTAAAACAGTACCCCCCATGTACAGGTTTTATGGTGTCTTGGAAAGTTACAGGGTTAAATATAGTCCTAGCAAATTAAATTCCCTGGGTTGTAAAGCAGGTCCCGCAAATTGTAATTAATAAAATGACCTAATTATGTAAAATGTTTACACATATTTATATATATATATGTAGAATTAATATACATATATACTATCTATATATATATATATAATTTTTTTAAATTTATATATTATTTCGTTCTACGTGTATTTTGATATCTATATCTATATATATATATATATACATACACACATATATACACACACACACACACACACACAGAACGAAGTTACACATATTTGTTTATTATTTTAACAGATTTACATATTTATTTTATATTATATATAAATATATATATATATATATATATATATTTAATCAATATCGTTCTATGTGTATTTTGAGATATATATATTTAAATATTAAAATACACTTAGACATACACTCCCTCTGCTGGCACTGCTATGGACGGCTATTCCGTCCATGTGATCGTGAGGTTCTTGCAATGAACTCGTGAACACATGGCCCAGGAGGGCCGGATCAGCAGCAGGGGGACTCCCTCGGATGCCAGGTGTAATAAGTGGGGGGATGTGATTAACAGCCAAACTGTATGCCAATGAAGTGTTATTGTGTTCTAATACAGGGATTCAAGCCCCCATTCTACCCTTAGGCAATAATGGAGTCCTCTGTGAAGCACATGGCCTTTCACCAGGCAAAATCAGTTGGGTTGTTGATAAACTCCTCCTCCATTCCCTTCCAATGCAATCCCCCTTCCCCCAGGAGGCACTCTGGTTCTGTTACATCCTAAGGGATTGACTAAGGGAGGTGTGTCCAGCAGAAGGAGGGGCTAACCTGTTTAAAGCCCTGTGAATAGCCCATTTTCTCTCTCTTTGAATTACCTCTCTTCACCTTCTCTCTCCTCTCTCCCCACTATACACACCCTCTCTCTCTTACTCTCAGCTGCTGATCGATGGAGTGGTAATTGTATCACGTCTATGCCTGTTTTACTATGTTAATTTAGCCTACTTTCCATTCAGTCAATGATTAGTTTTAGTAGCAACATATACTAGCCTATTTCAAATGTATATGTATTGTTTATTTGTTTGATTAAGCCTTTATTAATAAATATTATTGAATTGCCGAAAGCAAGGAGTGTGGACTCTGAATTTACACTCGGTTTTTAAGTTATTATTTTTAGTTATTAATGTTATTATTAATTCCACGTTTATTCCAACTTGCGAGTTAAACGTTTATTACACCAGGTAAGTCCCCAAATCAGGATCCCCTGCAAGCAGGAAATTCCCTTGGACGGCGGGGACGTGCTATGCCGCTCGCCGGCGTTTAGAGCCGGGTCCCCAAGGATGGCACAGCACGCCCGCCGTCTTTAAGGGGTTAACATTTATGGGCTTGGAGTTCACCAGAGCTTCACAGGTTGCCATTGGTGTCCTCTTCCACTACTCCATGACAACATCACGGAGCTGGTGGATGTTAGAGACCTTGTGCTCCCACACCTTCCGTTTGAGGATGCCTCGCAGATGCTCAATAGGGTTTAGGTCTGGAGACATGCTTGGCCAGTCCATCACTTTTACCTAAAGCTTCTTTAGCAAGGCAGTGGTCGTTTTAGAGGTGTGTTTGGGGTCGTTATCTTGGAATACTGCCCTGCAGCCCAGTCTCTGAAGGGAGGGGATCATGCTCTGCTTTAGTATGTCACAGTACATGTTGGCATTCATGGTTCCCTCCATTATATGATCATACATTGCATAAGCCTGCCACAACGTCAGTGTACCCCATCGTTGGCAGGTCATACTCTAACAGCCTAATGTCTGCTCTTATGAGATTAACCCACTTACTTGGGGAAAAAAAATCCATCTGGGAATCTGCAGTACAAGGCTAAATAGGACCCTGGGATGAGGCACCTGTGACAGGCAGGGGTGCAAAACCAAGGAGTTGGCTAGACTCCCAAATTCAAAGGCCTGAATTTGTGGGAGGACATTTCCCTATATTATTATTATTATATTTATATAGCGCTTTACAATGGGTGGACGAACAAACATGTAATGGTTACCAGACAAGTTTGACACACAGAAACAGAGGGGTTGAGGGCCCTGCTCAATGAGCTTACATGCTAGAGGGAGTGGGGTATAGTGACACAAAAGGTAAGGGAAGTAGATTGGTAGAATAGTATTCAATGAAGAATTAGTGTGGATTTATTTGGAGCCATTACCCCCTGTGCAATGGCCAGCAGATCATTTAAAGGACCACTCTAGGCACCCAGACCACTTCAGCTTAATGAAGTGGTCTGGGTGCCAGGTCCTTCTAGGGTTAACCCATTTTTTCATAAACATAGCAGTTTCAGAGAAACTGCTATGTTTATCAAGGGGTTAAGCCTTCCCCCATTCCCTCTAGTGGCTGTCTCATTGACAGCCACTAGAGGCGCTTGCGTGCTTCTCACTGTGGTTTTCACAGTGAGAGCACGCCAGCGTCCATAGGAAAGCATTGAGAATGCTTTCCTATGTGACCGGCTGAATGCGCGCGCAGCTCTTGCCGCGCGTGCGCATTCAGCCGACGGGGCGGATCGGAGGAGAGGAGGCAGAGAGCTCTCCGCCCAGCGCTGGAAAAAGGTAAGTTTAACCCCTTTTCCCCTTTCCAGAGCCGGGCGGGAGGGGGTCCCTGAGGGTGGGGGCACCCTCAGGGCACTATAGTGCCAGGAAAACGAGTATGTTTTCCTGGCACTATAGTGGTCCTTTAAGTTCTGCAAGTTTGGAGGTGGGGTTTCTAGGGATTTCATTTGCTGCTCCAACACATCCCAGACATGCTAGATCAGATTAAGATCTGGGGAACATGGAAGGAAAGGCAACACCTTGAATTCTTTGTCATGTTCCTCAAATTATTCCTGAACAATCTGTGCAGTGTGACAGGATGCATTATCCTGCTGAAAGTGGCCACTGCAATTAGGGAACATCATTGCCATGAAGGAACATGCAACATGCAAAAATCCCTAGGTAAGTGGTACGTGTCAGATGCATGCCAGAACCTTCTTCCATTGCTTAATGGTCCAGTTTCGATGCTCATGTCCCCATTGAAAGTGCGTTTGGCAGTGAAAAATGTCTTTGAAGGGCTAGCCTTTGCTCCCCATATGCATTAATAATCCTTGGGTGCCCGTGATCCTAACACCAGTTCACCAGTTGTCCTTCCTTGCACCACTTTTGGTAGATCGTAACTAACCACTGCATACCGGGAACAACCCACATGCAGTTTTGGAGATGCTCTGACAAAGTCACTCGGATCTTTTCTCTTGCCCATTTTTTTTCTCCTTCCACAAGATAAAATTAAAGTACTGACTGTTCACTTGCTGCCTAATGTATCCCACCCCCTGACAGATGCCATTGTAATAATATAATCAATGTTATTCCCTTCACACATCAGGGGCTTTATTGTTGTGGATGATCAGTGTACGTGTTACCAGTAATAAACATTGATATAAAGCCAATGCAAACATACTATTCAGCAGCGGCAAAACTCCCTGCAGTATCACTGCCGGCAAATCCCACACGTCCTGCCATATAAACCCAATCCCCTTAATTACCTATGCCGTTTCTGTTGCAAAAGCTTTTCACTAAGAAATGACTGACGGAGGTCAACATTGACGCACTGGCATTTCACCACTCTCCTCACTTGGTGGATTTTTTGGTTTCCGGTTTTTCTAACGGTTTTCAAACAGGATTGATAGCACTCCCCACAGGCACACAAACGCCCAAATCTCCTGTCAGCTTCTAACGATCCAACAGCAGTAGACTAATTACTACAGAAAGAGAACCTGTCAGGTTTCATGATAGGCCCTTTTACTTACCCCCTTTTTCCACCTGGTGAACAAACCCTATTGGAATGGTTATCAACAAAACTTCAAATAAAACACTTTTGATTATCGATCTCTCAGCTCTTAGCTCCTTATTTCTCTCACAACCCTTGCATTCATTCTCTTATACCTGCCGAAGAGTTCTCCCTCACAGTGGAATATGCCATACAAGCTATTTTACACGCCTGGCTAAGCAAAACAATTATTATTATTTTATTATTTATATAGCGCCAGCAAATTCCGTAGTGCTGTATAGTGGGTGGACTAACAGACACGTAGTTGTAATTAGACAAATGGACGCACAGGAACAGAGGGACTGAGGGCCCTGCTCAATGAGCTTACATGCTAGAGGGAGTTGGGTATAATAGGGGTAATGAAATAGGTTGCTAGAATAGTATTTGAACTTGAGTTATTTTTGACAGTTGCAGGAGAGGAGTCATGTTGAGGGGTTGAATGAAAACCTGCTAACAATTTAAATGATATGCTTTCCTGAAGAAGTGTGTTTTCAAAGATTTTCTGAAGGAATGGAGACTGGGTGAAAGTCTAACGGAGAAGGGAAGGGAGTTACACAAAAAACGTGCAGCCCTGGAGAAGTCTTGGAGGCAAGCATCTGATGTGGGAGTACAGACAGAGAATAGACGTAGGTCTGCGACAGAGTGCAGGGGCATTGACGGAACATACTTGTGTATTAGGGCGGATAGGTAGGTTGGAGCAGCATTATTTAGGGACTTGTAAGCAAGCACCAGAATCTTAAATTGAGCCCTATATCTAACTGGAAGCCAAAGTAGGGACTGACAGAGGGGGGAGGCGTAGGAGGTGCGGGCGGACAGGAAAATGAGCCTCGCTTCCGCATTATAGATTGCAGCATAAGACCACTGAGAAGGGGATTGCAGTAGTCAAGGCGAGAAAGAACAAAGGCATGGCACCTAAGCCGCGTCCGGTGTTAAATAGGGGCGGATGCGAGCTATATTTTTGATATGGAAGCAGCAGGATTTGGCGATCGACTGGGCATGACGGGTGAATGAAAGGTCAGAGTCAAAGAGAATACCTAGGCAGTGAGCCTGCGAGGCAGAGGTGATGGTGGTGCCGTTGACTTGGAGTGAGACAGACACGGGAGTAGCAACACTTGAGGTAGGAAAGACCAGAAGTTCTGTTTTGGACAGATTGAGTTTAAGGAAGTGAGCAGCCATCCAGTTGGAAATTGCGGAGAGGCAGTCAGAGACACGAGTCAAGATGGGCAGAGAGGGGTCAGGAGAGGACTGGTAGATTTGCATGTCATCTGCATATAAATGATAATGGAAGCCAAAGGAGTTGATCAGTTTACCAATGGAGACAGTGTAGACTGAAAACAATAGGGGACAAAGGACAGAACCTTGGAGAATGCCAACAGAGAAGAGTTGGGGAGAAGAGGCAGAGCCATTGAAAGAAACACTGTAAAAGCGCTGGGAAAGGTAGGAGGAGCACCAGGAGAGAGCAGTATCTCATAGACCAAGATTACGGAGAATGAGAAGAAGCTGTTGATGATCAACAGTGTCAAAAGCAGCAGAAAGATCAAGGAGAATTAGGATAGAGTAATGGCCGCAAAATTTAGCAGCGATTAAATCGTTGGATACTTTGGACACAGCTGTTTTAACAGAGTGACGAGCGCGGAATCCAGACTGAAGCGGGTCAAGCAGAGAGTTGGATTCGAGGAAATCTGTCAATCTTGCATACACAACTCTCTTAAAGATCTTGGTGGCAAACGGCAGTAGCGATATAGGGCGGTAGTTGGATGGGGAGTTGGGGGTCGAGGTTGAGGTTTTTCAGAATCAGCATTATAGTTGCATGCTTCAAGAGTGAAGGAAATGTGCCGGAGGAAAGGGAGAGATTGAAACTTTTAGTGAGAGGAAGAGCAAGAGAGGGAGACAGAGTACGGATGAGATATGAGGGAATAGGATCAAGGTAACAGGTGGTGGGACCACCCCCCTGGCTCGTTAACTACAAAGAGATCAAGGAATTCGTGCTCTCCTTGTGTGGCCATTCGTATAGTCGAATACCACGTGCAGGAGAAAATGGCGGCCATTTTGTTTACACGAAAGGAGGCAGCGGGACTTGGTTGTCGAGTGTCTGGAACCAAAATCGGACACTCGCCTTCCCGAACACTGGTCAAACCATACGAATGCCTGCTTCCTTTTCCCGACCAGTTAGGAGAGTGCTGTTCGGTAATTTTGATCCCACGAACTAGGGGAACAAACGCTACTATGAGCCAGGGGGTACTGTTCGTGAATTTGTTTGTTTTCAAGACTTTCCAAAATAGACCGACCACACAGCCTGAACTCATGGAACTGTTTCTGGGCAGGAGCCTCATGTGCGGTCGTTCAAACTGGGACTTCCATGAAACTCCCAAACCCTTGAATTGATCTGGGTGATTTTTTGATATGTTGGTCACTCAGATCAGGGCTATCAGGGGATATGACATTTATAGAGATGTTATGCATTTTGGGGAAAAAGGTGTGTTTCTGCCTGGAGATATTTGCGTTATTAAAATATCTGATCCAATTATCTACCAGGCAGAGAGGAGGGATTATGTGTTTACTTTGGCAGTGTTATACTTTGTAACCCTATAGTGATTGGTGTATAACTTTGTATTGGAGTCCCCAACAAGGTCCATGTGGGAGTAACCCTTGCATAGGGATATGCATAAAAGCCAGTGGGGGCACCCATTAAAATCATTTCTGTTACACCCTTCATCTAGTTTCGGCTGATGTTTGGGTACCTGTCTACTTTACTGAGGGAATACACTTAGGAGACTGCCATTCGTATGGAAAATCGTTTGACTCAACACCCGAACTGTGAGCTATAATCACTCAGGCAGTTCGTTGGGAAATAGGTGAACGGGTATCTACTAAACCAGCGTTCGTTACAGTGATGTATTGGAAGATGTATTAGAGGTTAGAGATCTCTTCCCCGATTGTATAAATCTGCTCAGTGAAGTGAGCTGCAAAGTTTGAGGCGGACAGGGTGGTAGGGGAAGCAACAGGGCGAAGGAGAGCATTAAAAATGTCAAACAGGCAATTGGGTTGGCAGGACAGTGTGCTTATGAGGGTGTTGAAGTAATTTACTTTTGAAGAGGAAAGAGCCAGAGTGTAGGAGCGCAGCATAATTTTATAGTGGAGGAAGTCTGGTGCAGAGTGAGACTTTCTCCAACAGCGTTCAGCAGTTCTGGAACATTTTTTAAAGATATCGGGTCAGCTTGGTGTGCCAGGGTTGTAATTGGGAAAGCTTGCTGCGTTTAAATGTAGGAGGTGCCATAATGTCAAGTTGAGAGGAGGGGATGCGATAGATGATGTCAAATCTTTGAGTGGACTCAAATATGTGGACTGTGTGAACTTCAAAGGAAGTGAAGGATAGGGCAGGGAGGATAGGTTGAAAGGTACATTGCGGGGAGAGAACGATGCCTACACCGCCGCCCTTACAGTTGAGTCTGGGAGTGTGGGAGAATTGTAGTCCACTGAAACATAAAGAAGCGGGACTAGTGGTATCAAAAGGGGACAGCCAGGTCTCAGTGAGTGTAATTAGAGATGAAGAGGTCGCGTATGGTTGTTGATTTAATATTGTTACAGATGGAACAGGCATGCCAGAGTTCACAATGAATGTTGGAACAGGAGGATAAACTGCAGGGTATTTGGATGAGGTTTGCGTGATTTCTAGTTGTTTTAGTGCTAGCAGATAACGTGAGGGGCTCTGGGTTGGGAGAGACATCACCAGCTGCTAGAAGTAGGAGGAGAGATAGTGACAGGAGATGTGAATGGGTTTGATATGGGCGGGGTCTACCTTCAAACTTCTACTTATTCATCAGTTAATATTGCATCAAATGGAGGGACAAATACTACTTCGCTACCAGGCTCACTTTC